CTCTTGGGTAGTGGAGCATCGCTGTCCTCCGACAGTTTGTTTTTTGTTCCCTGGAGAATGAAGGCAGGATTTCAAAAGACTCATTTGATATTTATTCAGATACAAAGCAGCAATTCAGCAATCTCCTCAGTTGCAGGAGACAGCATCCCCCAGTGAGAAATAGTTAACAAGGTCAGCCAGGCAAGAAGCCCTTACATTTTATATACAAGATTCATCTGGACAGCAAGACTATTCCTCACTGAAAATGTGTTAAAGTAGAATTAGAGGGCAGCAAGCCAAGGATGTTTTTAAAAATTGGACTTGTGATCTTTTCTGCTTCTTTATGATGTTACCAAATATACTCTCAGGCTTTCTTTAGCCTTTTGCTCCCCTGCTAGGTTCTTCCTTTGGGGCTACACTTCAAAGTTAATTGAGATTAAGGTAGGATGCTGATTAAATCTCTGTGTGAATGCTCTTATTCTGGAATACCAATGACACCTTGCTCCTCCGGATTCAGTTAAAGCATTACACCACATGTAATGCTCCAGAATTTGAGCATGCGCACAGAGATGTTCCTAAATAAGTCCATGTGGAAACAAACCCTGAGAATGTAGTCTGCCCTTCCCTGGCTTTGCTGGGGGACTTCTGGGTAGTATAAGGTATTTTGAACCAAGGAATTTCATTATTCAAAACATTAGTTAGCCTTCAAATCTAAATAGCTTTTATCAAAAGTAAACAGAAGAAAAATTTTAAAAAGTAATCCTTTCTCCATTTAAAAGCTCAAGCATCTCTGATCTTATGTCATAATTATGACAGTACAATTGCATAATTTCACAAGTTCTCCATCAGGGAACCTTCTAACTTAGATACATCCTTAATTTCTCATGTAAAAAAACAAGCAGAAAAAACAAACTTTAAAAACCCATCCTTTTTAATCATTCTTTATCCATTGGACTACAGGCAGTCCCCGAGTTACGCGGATCCGACTTATGTCGGATCCGCAGTTACGAACGGGGCTTTTCTCTCCCCAGAGGACAGGACACCCAGATGCGCCGCGGTCCGCCGCCCCCGTCCTTTGGGGCGAGAAAAGCTGCTCCCTGTCTCCCTGGTCTGCAGGGAGACGGCGGGGGCAAGC